ATGGCCACGTTGTCATATAGGATGAAAAATACTCAAGTTTTCTGTAGTGACAAGGACTCCCGTATTATGGTGTTTAGGTGAGAGTATCCAATCTTTCAGTCCAGGTCCAGTAAATTTTATGGACTTAATTTTGTTTGCAGTATTTCAACACTCAGACCAGCAATCTGTGTCAATGTTAACTTTGTATAAATTATTAAAAATCATTTACTTGTTATTTAATTTTAGCCCTTCAAAAATAAATGGCTTTGGGAAAATTAGAAACTTAACATTGGATTCTTTCTTCATACCGTTGTATATGCAACCTAGAAGTCAGTTCCTAACCCCAATAATATTCAAAAAACTTCTATTTTCCTTCGATGTGGAAGGCTTTGTAAAAGACAGAACCAAATTTTGCAATTCAGATATGTCTTGGCACATTCTCTACTACTAGTGAAGGCCTCAAGATACACCACTACAGGAAGAGTTCCAAATGGGGCTCAGTTCATCATTGCTTCTCTCTGACTGGTCTGCCGTTCAATAAATGGCAGTGGGGTAGTGGAAGGAAAAGGAAAAAGCCTGTAGAGCAAAATGCTCTGCAAACTTGCCACCTCATGATGTGGAAGAGGAAGAGTAAGTTAAGGGGAAAAGATCATCACAGCATCATTATCATAGGTAAATTGTGATTAAACACTGGGAGTAGTATGGAGGAAAGAGACCAGGAAGTGAGTGGCAAGAAAGATAAGTGGGTGGAACATAGGACTGAGGAAAGAAGAAAAGCACGAACATAAAGTCATTTAAGGGGGATTATAGGGTAGGTATATTGATGTTTATGTGTGTTTGTCTTTTGTCTAATGTCACTTAATTTCCTCTGTTACATTATATATGTCTACTTATGTCTGTAAAATGACAGTAGAACCTTCAGAATCTATTGTTTAAAACTGTGATTTTTTAAATTATACTCAGTAAATTTTACATATAACCATAGTTACATTTCTTCCATATATGTATAGTTTTATAACGTTGTTATGTTTTACAATATACGTAGACACAAAATAAACAATACATATGACACTGTCAAAATTTGATTATGAAAGATAATTTTCTTGATCTTTTATTCACAAGGAGCTTAGGTACCCCACCCCCATGGGGATGGTGTTCACTGTGATTTAGTGAAGAGTGCATGGGGCTAGCATAAAGAAAGGCAGACATGAAGGACAAAGAAAACATAATTGAACTCCAAAAAATGTGCTCTGACATTGCTTGGGATGTGATGAAGTGGAAATGTCTCTCCACTGTGACCTTCCAGAAAGCTCTCATTAGAAGGCCGCTTCACTTTTGCTTGCCTCCCCAATGTGTACCTCTTAAAAGAAAGGAACCAAAGTGAGTTGGGTGCTCATCAATCCTACTAGCACAGTCTCACAACCGTGCATACATAATCTTTTCCTGGAAAAATACCCAAAGTACTCTAGGACAGTTAATTCTTGGTAAACCAAAGAGTAGGCATTGCTTTTTGCAATAAAGTTGTTAAGAATATATCAGACTATCTTTTTTGAATTGAGCCATGTTGTAAATTCAGCAAAAGCATTTTACCCTATAATATGCTAAGGGTGTATCATTAACCATATATGATGAATATATATATTGAGATGAAAATGAATGTAAAAAGTATCAAACCAACAACTTTTGTATTTGAGAACTCTAGCTAGAAAAATGAGAATGAGAAGGAAAAGAAGAGAAAGAATGAAAGAAAGAAAGAGGAAGGAGTGAAGGAAAGAGGGAAGGAAGGTTTTTGCATGTTAATTGTTCATTGTGGCAATCTCACATGTGTTCATTTGGGCCATGGATATGTCAGAAGAGCCCATGCCCACACAGCCACTGAAAATATTGACATGTTTCAAGATACAGACTAGGTGGAATCAAGGCAGCCTCATAAGGCCAGAATGAGATGCAACATAACCTTAGGCAGCTCTTCCCTTACCCTTCCATTCTAGAGGGCTGTTGGGCTATTGTGACACTCTTCTTTAACCAGGGAAACTAACTGTTTCAGCTTCATTTTGTTCATGTGTATTTTTTTTAATCAGCAAAAAAGTCTCTATGTTTAATTTTCATTTAAGAGCTCTCTTATTTTTTTCAGTCATATGGTTTATTTGTCAAAAAAATAAATGTTCTTTGATCACATATACACAAAGAAAATACATAGGTACTTACTATTCGCCATTTTCCATCTATGATTTTATTGCTAGCAGTACTACAAAGACAAAATTCAATAACAAAACAAAATATAAATATAATTTATTCTTACCTAAAAAAATTGTATATATATTTTTTTAATTTCAGCATATTACAGGTGAACAAATGTTTATGTAGCCACTCTTATTTTTGAAACTAAATTGCTGTGGTGGTATCATCACAGCCCAAAGAAGGCAGCAAGTTCAAGGCTGTGGTATGCCGACTGAGGGTCCCAGCTCCCTGAAAAACACATGCTCCTACTCACAAAAGTTAATTATCATACTGGTTGAAGGAAGCTGCCTTTGAAGATAAAGCACCAAGTAGTTTCTAAATCAGAAGACATAAGTGATATTAGTGAAACACCATCAAAGTGGGATGCTGAAGATAAATGTGGTTAATAACTCTATAAAAATAAAAGCTGGATATTTCTCTTTAGCTGAATTGATGAGTCAGACCAATTATTGCATAACTTTTTCAAAGTTTATGATTTCTAAATATTCACTCTAAGTGATATAGAATTATAATATTAATAGCAATACCAAGTATATGCAATGTTTTACAGTTTTCAGAGTGTCTTTAAAAAGCAGTGCTCTGTTTGAATCTCTCAACAAAAACAAAATCCTTCGCAGTAGGTGGTGCATATATTATGTCGTGTTACCTGTTTATTTTTGTTAAGTAGATTTCCCAACATCCCCTCTAATTTGTGGCCAGGCACAAAGCCCATTCCTCTGATTCTTTCTTGTCCTTCACCTGATCTCATAATCCAAAGGTATTAATTATGTTAATAAAAAATTATCATTAAAGTTTTCTT